AGAAAAAAAAAAAAAAAAAAAAAAAAAAAAAAAAAAAAAAAAAAAAAAAAACAACTCACATTAAAGCAGGAAAAGTTAATACAGTTTGTACTAAAATACATTGGAACAACTAATCCCTTTATGATTCGTTCATTCGTTTCGATGGTAAATTGGTAGTGGTGCATGTCGGGGAGTCAAACCAGCCATCAGCTTGCTTCTTCCAAAAAACCCTTGGAAAATGAAGCCATCAACAGCCCTTTCAGCTTTTAGCATTGCTACTTCATTCGGGCTAATTTCGAGTGTCTCCGTTTTCCACAGAAAGTGTATACGGAGCAGGTTTCGACTTCTGACCAAGACAAATACTTTCCATGCAAAAGCAAAAAAGTTTCAAGACCAGGAGCATGCCATTAAAAAAACCCGCTATATATGGGCCGCGCACAAAAAAAAAAGCATCAAAGTGGTACTAGCGGCCTTGAAATCAATCGAACCGAAAAACACAGGCACAGAACTGTGGCTCTTTTTACAAAGGGTATATAAAGCCAAACCTGAAGTAAAGCACCAACTGGAGTGACATTTCTCTTGTCTGGTCGACTAATCCGCAAACTCCTGTGCTGAATAACAAATGACCAGCAGGAAGACAACAGTGAAAACGATATTGAAATCACTTGAATGAGCACTAAAAACCCATTTTTGGAGTGCGACTTCAACAAACGTTTAAAAATCTGTGAATCTTTTGCAGGCAGAAAATGTGAAACGAGCAACAATTACGGGTCAATCGATTATTTCCAGTGAGAGATCAATATCCTGTAATTTAAAATTTCGAAAATTTTTACAAAATGAATTTTTCCTACACCTCATAACAGAAATCTTACTTGTGAAAATAGTTCATTTAGAAGCAACCAGAAAACTTACTTCCTCGAGGAACAGCACCGGCTGGATGCAATGAGTAAAATGCATGTGCTAAAACAACGCCCTGAACAAGCATCTGTGGCGCTGATTCCAAAAATGCCTCAAAAAACCTGCAAAAACCTGACAAAGCAATTTCCACCTACGTTCTTTTTGCATCATAATAAGTCATAAGGGATTTGAGAAGTTCAAAATCCCGTGACAAGGGCCATGAACTTCGTTGTAGCTGCAAAGCTTTTGACAAATCCATAAAAAATTGAACTAATCACATGTCAGAGAGAAAACCCCCCACGAGAACATTCACGACGTATGAAAAATTCCACTGAAAACGAAAAAACAACAGCAACCTCAGCAGTGAGGCATCTCTTTCCGCTGCAACCATGGCCGCATATAAGGCTAATTTCTCACTCCTTTTTTCCGCTAATCGAAAACGGATAGCCGCTAAAGCTGCTTCCAAATACCATAGCACTGGACCAACCTTAAATTTAAAAACAAATGTTAAATCGGTGCCAAATTAATCCAAAATCAAATGCTAAAGCATTTTTTAGAGATCTAGAAAAAACTTTGAGTAACATTTCGGTGAGCTGAAAGTTGTTAAAAAATGTTAAATTTGAAAAATTCGAAAACCTGCAATAGGGATATAACGAGACGGAAAAATAACTGTTTCGAGTAATCAGGCTTGGTGTTCTGTAGAGAGGCACGCACTGATACATCATCAATCCACCATAAAAACGAAACGATATTCAACAAAACTGAAGGCAAAACAGTGAGGACAGCGATAAATATGAATGCCCACATCTGAAACTCAAACACATGACATGTTCTAAAAAACATAAATTGTTACAGGAAGTTAAGCAGCATAAGAGGCTGCAACGCACTAGCCCTACTAGTGCGGTCATGCATTTTTGCGTAACTTGAATCAGTCGGGTTGTTAAACGCACGAATGGTTATTGCTTTACATGTAACTTATGTACCCATCAGCGTAAATAACTGTAAATTTGATATGAAGAAAAATGAACAATTTTTGTTCAACGGTTGTTCACTGGAACAATTTTTGTTCAGCAGTCGTTCCTGAGGTAATAATTTCTCCGCTGAATTTAAATTTGGGGGGTTACATGTGGGTGGGAAAATTCTAATTTTCAGCTTCCTAGTTTCTGTGGTTCCTGTGTTGAAAACTGCGAACAAGTTGCTACGGACACATACACACACAGACAACTCCATAACAATATGCGTTTTGTACTCCTGTTACACAGCACAAAACGCACAAAAAATAATGAAAGAATCGCTAAAGTACTGTACCGCTGGCGGAGCCAAAGCTCAACCGTTCAGCGCAAGGGCAATGCTGCTTGTCACTGTATCTTGTTCGTCAGTGCTAGATAACTGAGTAATGCAGTGGAAGGGAAAATAAGAAGTCTCAGGGACTTACCCTCTGTTCCCGGTAGTGTACGTATGCCACGGCAATGTCACTGCATATATCAGCTAAATAAGAAGCAACCGAAAAGAAGAAGCAAAAAATATCAAAATCGCGAACCACAAGCGTATGAGGCAAGCGATCCGAGTAATCCACAGAAACTGCACCATCTCCTTCAAAAATTTATATCCACTGGAAATAATTCAAAAAAAAAAAGAAAAACAAAAATTCTTCTCAACAAGTTCTGATTACAACCCATTTCCGGAGGAAATTCGTAGCACCCGAGCCCACAAAATGAGGTATCGCATCGATCACAAACAGTGAACAAGCGCATAAGAAAAAAACACCTCAGAGTTGCTGTGCTTAGCAAGCCGTCCCACCGGGAAATTCCTGTTGTTGCACGATATTAAAAAAAAAAAAAAAGAAAAATCCATTCTTTTTTTCAGTGAAACAAAAATACAAAGGACGGCAATAAGGCTCCCCGGGTTATCAGTGAGGGTATTCCCTGTTAGTGATGTTACTAGGATGCTCCCGTACGCCAAGATTTGCGTTCCTGGGTTGCATAATTGGTAGCCCCCGCCCTGCTCAATGGATGTGTGCCGCCTGTTCGATGTATGCGTGAAGCGAAAAACAATGAGCTAAAAATTATACCTATTTTCCCCGGAATCATATCGATATTCGAAACGGTGGTGCCAAAATAGGGCAGCTTGGGCCGCCTTCTTTTCAGCATCGTCATCCACTTGCCCTAAAAAAAATGCGTAGCATGTAAATAACGAGTTTCACATCCAAAATCAGCTCAGCATCTGGCCTAAAAAATGCCATCGCCAATGCCCACATTACGATAAGGCGTTTTATCTAATAAATGAATTTACAAAATGAGGCAAAAAAAAGCTGCAGGATATGACTGTAAGCAATTCGTTTTTTCGCCCGTAACAGGATCCAGGAGGAAAATCGTTTCCGGTGAAATGCAGATCGATCCGATTTCTGCGTGTGCTTCCAAATTCTCCGGTCCCGAAAATGGTGATCAATGGAAGAAGTTTTTATTAAAAATGCAGCACTGGATTTCGCGATGTTCACAACTGCCAGTGTGCAGGAAGCTGCCTGTACTGTAGATAGGGCACAAAGATCAGGCGTCCTAGAGTCTAATGAACGCATAGTTTAGTGAGAGAGTACTGTCTGCATCACTGGCCAGCACTGTTAGTCGGGATCCACTCACTGTT